CTCTCTCTCTCTCTCTCTCTCTCTCTCTCTCTCTCTCTCTCTCTCTCTCTCCAGGGTCTCACTATTAGTTCAGAGGCGCCTTGAACACACTATACCCCAGGTTGGCCTCAACCTCAGTCGTAATCCGCCTACCTCAGCCTTCCAATTGCTAGAATTATAGGTGTCCACCACCATACCTGGATTAAGCCTTGATTCATACTGTATTATTATTAACATAGGCCATATTTTAGATACAGTCTGCTTTGCATTTTAAACCTCTAGCTCAGCTCTCCTGAGCAAATTATTGCTGAGATTTAGATTGATATGAGAGAATTAATTTGGAAGTATTGAATTTCCACTGTTAAATCTCAGTGCTGATACACACAAGCTTGAATAATCAAAAAACATTAGTCTACATTTACCTACTCTGAAAATAAGTCTTTGTCCACAAGATCCTTACTTTCAATCAGCCATAACAAGTATGACTGTTGCAGCCCTGTTTTCCACCTTCCAGAACCTTGCTGCTTGAAATGTGACCCACATTAGCATCACCTGAGAGCTTGTTAGGTAGCCTGTTGTACCTCTCATCAAACCTACTGGTTTTTTGACAAGATCCCCAGGAGATTTTTAAGCATATTAATGCTTAAGAAGCATTATTCTAGGGCTGCGATGTAGCTCAGTGGTACAGGACTTGCCTACCATATGTGAAACCTTGGGTTAAATTCCCAATAACACATACACACACACACCCAGTCAGAGAGAGAGAGCATTATTCTAGAAGACCATCTCCCTTAGGACCAGAGTTCCTGTGCTTTTACCTACCTCAATATTGCAGGCACTGGTAGCATATTTGGGAAAGTAGGTATGAATGTCTTGGCCACAAACTAAGTTTCTACAAGCCCTCATTGAGTTATTACTATGTGCTTGACACAGTTTTCACAAAGTATGTAGGTGTTTTCACAAAGGTATTTTCACAAAGTATGTGGGATGTGAAGGGCATACATTCACAAGCTGAAATGGAGAATACAGGAGCCTTAATACCTGTTGTCTGCCTGTGCTAAGTGAGGACATGTGTGTCACTGAATCCTCCTAGTGGTGCTGTGGAGCAGGGTTATTACCCCTAGTGAAACTCAGAAAGAACTGACATATGTGATAGTAAGTGGTTGAATTTTAATTCAGATCTGTTGCCAAACCCCACATTCTTGCCACTATAACTCCTGTCTTTGAGGAAGGGAGTGGTCAGTGGGATGTGACAGCAAGTGCGGTGGGGCCCTCAATTCTCAAGGCGTCATCTGAAGACTGTACTTAAGATCTGCTCAAAGACAAGTAGCTTATAATTCTGCTCACTTCTGACTCTGGCTCCTGTATCCTTTGTAGATGATATTCTACACAAAAACCAACAGCTGACCATGCAGGTGGCTTGCCTGAACCAGGAGCTTGCCCAGCTGAAAAAGGTGGAGGAGACGATTGCCCTTCTTCATGAAAGTCAGAGGTAGGAAAGGGTCTGGCTAGTGGGTTTCTAGAACAGATACTTACTTTGCTTTATCTCTCCTTTGCTTCACTTGGAAAGTTGATATATCTATACCCTTTGCAAATTAACTGCAGTGTATGTAGACCTCCTGTACCTGGCCACTTAGCTCAGGGATCAAACACTGCTCCTACAACTGCTTTCATACGCCAGGGACTAACCATCTTTGCTGGCATTCATGGGGCAACACCTCAATAATTAGTTTCTCACTGGATCTAGGAGGACCTTTATTTGGGCCAGCTAACTCTGGTCACCTTGTACCCTTAAAATCAGGCACCTAGCTCCTCTGGAAAATGCTTGTCTGTTATTGGTCACAGAAGATGCACCAAGAGCTCTCAGCAGAGAGTGGTAGGGAAACAATCCAAAGTATGTGGGCTCTTCACAGGTGCTCAGTAGCATCAAGCTCTTCACAGAAGAGTGCTCTTAGGATGCAAGCAGAAAAATATGGGGAGCCGGGACCTCCAGACCATTAACAATTCTAGGGAAGCCCTTGGTTTTTTTTTTGTTGTTTTTTTTTAGTTTTTTAGTACTGGGAAGTGAACTCAGGAGATTGCAATTGTGAGGCAGACATGGTGCCACTGAGCTAAATCCCTGGTCCCTTGAGATTTTGGTTTGCCAATCTACCTTTACTGGAATTTCCAATGACATTTAAATATAAGCAAGCATCTCATCCTTCAAACCTTCAGCCCCAACCGTCACCACTAATTTTTACTGGAACAGCTTCATCTTCAGAGGATTAGCTCCAGATCTCGACTAGGTAGCTTTTTTTAAAAATTTTTTCTTTACAATTATTTCAAGCATTACAAAAGTAAACAATAGCATGAAGGGATGGTTTGCAAACTTGGGTTTGTATCAGAATTACCTGAAAGACTTGTGAAAATGTAGATTGCTGGACTCCCCTCCCCGACCCCCACCTCTGACTCAGCAGTTTGTCTTGGGAACTGAAGATCTGCATTTCTAGTAAGCTCTCAGGTTCTGCTGATGATGCTGACCTTGAGGCCACACTGTGAGAACATTAGAATATCTCTCTTCAGGGATGCAGAGTCAAAATACTACATTTTAAATTAACTCAAAACAATTCTTCTGCCTGGCACAGTGGCACGTGTCTGTAATCCCAGCCCTCAGGAGGCTGAGGCAGGAGGATCACCACAAGTTCAAGGCCAGCCTGAACTACGTAGTGAGACTCTGTTTCACAAAACCAAAACCAAAACCAAAACAATTATTCTGTGTATTGTTGCGTTTTTTGGGGTTGTTTTGGTACCGGAGATCAAACTCGGGTCTTTGCCCTTGCGCAGAAGGCAGCGAAACCACTGAGCTAAATCCCCAGCCCTATTCTGTGTATTGTTAAACCATTAACTTGGTATATTGGCTCATTTGTTTCATTTTGCTCTTGGTTCTTAGTGAGTTGTACTATTTTTATTTAATCTTGTCTATATAATTATGTAAAAATGATTGCACTGTCCCAAAGTCAAATATAGTTCAGAAAAATCCAGCTCCCTTTTCTGTCTCTTCTATCTTTCCTTCTTTCCCACTAGCCTTCTGTTGTAGCTATTGTGTGCCCCCTTTATTATATAAAAGGATATTTGTTGCTTTAACATTTTATCTTGGAAATCAATCCACTGTGGTCTAAAGAGTTCTTTCTCATTCCTTTTTATAGCTGCATAGTACTCCATTGTATAATTGTATAGTTAAATTAGCCCTGTAGTAATGTCTATGGACGTTTAGGTTAACAGTATTTGGCTGTGAAAAATAGTACTATAGGGGCTGGAGATGTGGCTCAGTGGGACAGTGTGTGCTTAGTTCTGCAAGGCCCTGGGTTCAATCCCCAGCACCAAACAAAAACAAAATAGTACTATAATGAACAGCGTTATGTATACATCATTCTTTGCCAATATCCAGATGGCTTTTAACATTACATAGTAATGTAGAATCCGAGAACATAGTCATGGCTAGCACCATTAGTTGTAGAGAGCAGCATAGATTAGAAGTTATGATTTGGGGTAGAAATGAGGGGCCTGATCAGGAGCCAGTGTTTGAGTGTTTCTACTTACCTCATCACAAAAGTGCTTTGGAACATATAGAATAACCACTCTTTAAAATGTGAAATGTATTATCACTTCAGTCAGTCTGGAATGCAATCAAACAGTTGTAATGAAGACACTGTAGGTCAGTTTTTAAAATACCCACTCGTGAATTGGACAATTCTGTTGAAGGACATTATTTCATTTTTCATTTATCTTTAGCAAACCTTTCAGACCTGAAAGGCTTCTACTTTGCTTTTGTGATTTCATGCCTGTCTTTTTCCCCCCGGGCCTCAGATCCCTGGTGTTAACTAATGAGTATCTGCTGCAGCTGCTGAATAAAGAGCAAAAAGGTTATTCTGGGAAAGCACTCCTGCCCCCTGAGAAGAGTCATCATTTGGGGAGATCGTCGCCCTTTGGGAAAAGCACTCTGTCTTCCTCCTCACCAGTGGCACACGACACGGGTCAGTATCTAATACAGAGTGTCTCAGAAGCTGCCCCAGAGCCTAGTTTGTGGAGCTACCATTGAACACCTTCACAGCCGCCTCCTGTCCATGGAGGCCATTGACATCAGTGTGGTAGTGTTTACTCCCCAAGATTAAGAAAAATCTTATTCTGATTATATTGTATTTTCCTTTTTATTTCTCTGTTTATCTGCTCCCAGTGAGTCATTTTTTCCTTCTGCCTACACAAATTGTTGGCACTTAGTCCTAAGCATCATATCACACAGAAACATTTGACTGAAAATGTCAGAAAAGAAAAAACATTGGACACTTCCCTGCACTGTCATTTGAAACTATGTGGTAGAAAAAGAACTCTCAGGTGTCTTTTGTGTTAGAAGACATTTTAGAGACTATGAATTGATTCACTAAGTGTGTTTGGGGTTTTCCCCTGACACAGCAAAAAGGTGACAGTATCAGGCATCTGCTCTGGAGCAGCCCACAGTTTAATTAGGGAGAAAAGCACAGACTCATATGATGGAGCCTGAAGCTTGGAATTGGTACCAAACAGGTCTACACAGAAGCTCCAAGATGGGTGTGGTGGTATATGCCTGTAATCCTAGCACTGTGGGAGGCTGAAGCAGGAGGCTGCAAATTTGAGCCATGCCTGAGCAATTTAGAGTCTCAAAATTTTTTTTAAAATGAAAAAAAGCTTGGGATGTAGCTCAGTGAGAAGGCCCTGGGTTCAGGCCCCAATAACACACACCCACACACACACATACAGACACACATACACACACACACACACACACACACACACACACAGAACGCTCCAAAGAAAAAGATTTGAGAGAGAAAGAGAGAGAGAGATCCAGTGGTGTGCAAGTCGAAGCTGGCAAAAGAGTAGGATGGTAACAGGGAGAGAGAAGCAGAACTTCCCAGGCCAGTGCAGAGTCTGAAGCCCCCAGAGGACTCCCAGGGCATAGATGAGGTGGGACATGTCATCATGAGAACAGGTAACTGGTGACCCTTTCTAGCCAATGTCAGGAAAATGTCCCCAGAGAACATTCAGCTGAGACTTGGAATAAGTAGATGGGCAGTACTAGTATAGTACTAGGCAAAGCATGAAGCCTAGGGCAAGAGCGGTGGGACAGACTTCAGAGAGAAGCAGTGCAGGCCAGGAATGGGGCAGGGACACAGTGATTTCAGGGAACCAAGGGGCTTGAGAGAAGGGAAGTGGGAGTGCAGCTCCTTGTAGATTTTCAGATGGGGTGGCAGAGGAGTTTGAGAGGCTTTGTGTGAAGCACAGACCACGGTGCTGTGGGGGCAGGGGAGGACCCAAGAGGAGCTGGACAGCAGAGAGGCAGCAAGAGCAGCCCACTGAGATGTGCGCCGGCTTGGCCTCAGCATCCATTCTGCACACAAATACCCTACATTTCTTTTTCTTTTCTTTTTTTTCAGTACAGGGGACTGAATCCAGGCCCTTTACACTGACCTACACCCCCAGCCCCCAGCCCCCGCCCCTTGAGATAGAGTCTTGCTAGGTAGCTAGGTTGCCCAGGCTGGGCTTAAACTTGCAATCCTTCTGCCTCAGCCTCAGAGGGCTAGGATTATAGGTGTGCACCACCATACCCAGCTATGCTGCATTTCTTAATCCCAACTGAACAGGAAAGATAATGCAAATGGTTTTAGGTAGGCTTCTGCTTCAGGTTTCTCCTAGGTAGCTGATGTTGCTGGAGAGTGCAGAAGGTGAAAGACTGTCCACCTATTCAATGTTACTTCACCTTCAGGACCACATCAGAGAGAGAGGAGGTGGGAGGATTAGACACTCAATTGTCCCCTGCCTCAGATGCTGTGCAGGAAAGGACACTTTTTGTCATGCAAATGAATCATAAGACCCCGACCTGTCTGAGTTACAGGACCTCTGGATTTTGTGTGTCTTCCCAAGAGGGCGCTGGACAGAGGAACCATGAGTGTCTTTGATCTGTGTGCTCTAGGCAGCTGGTGTGAGAAATGACAGTGAGAACAACCTCCCTGACCTACCCTGCCTCTCTCCTCAGCCTGTCCTTGTCCCTTTGAGAGACCTCCAAAGAGCCTTTTTTTTTTCCTGGTACTGGGGATCAAACTCAGGATCTTGTACTTGCCAGGCTGGTTCAGTGCCACTGAGCTAAATCCCCAGCCTGCCAAAGTTTTGCCTAAATATTGACTGGTGGCCTCAAAACCTTGAGTTGTCACATTTCAGGGATGAGGCAGCCTTCTAAGCAGACCTACTGGGCAGATCATCAAGGGGTGCAGGGATAACCCACTTCTTCCTACTGCCCCAGCCCTTCCTGCTTCTAGTGTGAACATCTGATAATGGCAGCCCCGAAATGTGCTCTCAGAGCACCCCTAGGTAGGAGTAAAGAGCCTAACCCAGCCAGAATCACCTTCCCCGCCTTTTCCCTTTGTCACCCTAAGTGGCTGGCACTGGCCCAGGCCAGCTCCTCTTCAGTTCTGATTTTCCCTGTGTGGCTCTTAGTCCTGAAGGTAAGGGTAGGGAAATGGCAAAGAGTTGTCACCCTGTGGGGCTAACTGGACCCAACACAGGACACAGAAGACCCCTGAAGTGAAAAAAATAAAGTAAAAGAGGGCCAGGGACGTGGCTCAGTGGCACCATGGCTTCCTGGCAAATGCAAGATCTTGATTTTGATCCCCAGTACCAGGGGAAAAAAAAAAAAAGGAAAAGAGTTCTTCACCTCAGCCTGGCACTAGCAGGAGAGAGAAGATAAGTTTGGGGTAGAAATGGTCCTCAGGGAAGTTCTGAGCTGGGGCGGGGGCAGGACCACTCTGACAGGCTTGGGCTTCCCACTGTGTATAGTTTTAGTGCTCCATCCCACAAATCTTAGCCATCCTTCCCTGCCAACCTGGCTTTACTAGTGAGAGTACCCAAGGCTTTGGGCCACCAGGAGGCTTAGGGGAGAAGCACACAGCTGGAGCAGCAGTGGTGTTGGCCATTGGCTGCCATGCACCAGATTCTGCCAGACCCTTTTGGTCTCTAAGGGCCTTTCTGGCCCGTGGTGGGCCTTGATCTCAGACTCCATATGGGTTTTTAAGAACAGGAGGCTTTATTCCCACAGAGTTTGGGGGTTCAGCCTGTTCTGTCTCTGGGTTCCTCCAAGCCACACAACCAGTTCCAGGAATGGACAAGTCACTGCTCTCCTCCAGATTGTGGGCCCCTTCCCCTGCCATCCACAGGTGGGAACTTGGCCCGGTCTAGACAGGTAAACTTGGTTCATGATAAGGATCTGTCAGTAAGCGAAAGCCACAAGGTGAGAGTCTCTCTCTCTCTCTCTCTCTCTCTCTCTCTCTCTCTCTCTCTCTCTCTCCCTCCCTCCCTCCTCT